AGCGGAAATCAGCTTGACTAAAGACCAATCAGTAGTCAGCAAAGAGTAAACAGCTATAAAAATAGGACCCCAATTGCCTGTAGTTGGCATAGTAGGTCATCTTGCCTCTGAAGATACCAACCACAGTTGCCAGCAAAATATCAAAAATTTCTGGTTTTAGATCACTCTCATTAAACCCTGAAGCCAAACACTGCCCATGATGCTTCATATTTCTGAATAAATAATGATAGTTTCAATTATTTCCTGAACTGAAATCCAATATAAAAACAATTCTGCAGAAACCACAGCTCTGATGATCCGTATCTACAGGTGAAACTCGAAAAATTAGAATATTGTGCAAAAGTTCGTTATTTCAGTAATGCAACTTAAAAGGTGAAACTACTATATGAGATAGACTCATTACATGCAAAGCAAGATAGTTCAAGCCGTGATGTGTCATAATTGAGATGATTATGGCTTACAGCTCATGTAAACCCCAAATCCACAATCTCAGAAAATTAGAATATCATGAAAAAGTTCAATATTCTAGTCTCAAAGTGTCCCACTCTAATCAGCTAATTAAGCCATAACACCTGCAAAGGGTTCCTGAGCCTTTAAATGATCTCTCAGTCTGGTTCAGTAGGAATCACAATCATGGGAAAGACTGCTGACCTGACAGTTGTGCAGGAAACCATCATTGACATCCTCCATAAGGAGGGAAAGCCTCCAAAGGTAATTGCAAAAGAAGTTGGATGTTCCCAAAGTGCTGTATCAAAGCACATTAATAGAAAGTTGTGTGTAAGGGAAAAGTGTGGAAGAAAAAGGTGCACAAGCAGCAGGGATGACCGCAACCTGGAGAGGATTGTCAGGAAAAGGCCATTCAAAAGTGTTGGGGACTTTCACAAGGAGTAGACTGAGGCTGGAGTCAGTGCATCAAGAGCCACCACACACAGTCGGTTCCTGGAAATGTCGTATTCCTCTTGTCAAGCTGCTCCTGAACAACAAACAACGTCAGAAGCATTTTACCTGGGCTAAAGAAAAACAGACCTGGTCTGTTGCTCAGTGGTCCAAAGTCCTCTTTTCTGATGAGAGCAATGTTTGTATCTCATTTGGAAACCAAGGACCCAGAATCTGGAGGAAGAATGGAGGGGCACACACTGCAAGATGCTTGAAGTCCAGTGTGAAGTTTCTACAGTCTGTGTTGATTTGGGGAGCCATGTCATCTGCTGGTGTTGGTCCACTGTGCTTGATTAAGTCTAGGGTCAATGCAGCTGTCTACCAGGAGATTTTGGAGTACTTCATGCTTCCTTCCGCAGACAAACTTTACGGGGGATTCTGACTTCATTTTCCAGCAGGACTTGGCACCTGCCCACACTGCCAAAAGCACCAAATCCTGGTTCAATGACCATGGGATTACTGTGCTTGATTGACCAGCAAAATTGCCTGACCTGAACCCCATAGAGATTGCCTCTTGGCATTGCCAAGAGGAAGATGAGAGACATGAGACCGAACAATGCAGAAGAGCTGAAGGCCGCTATTGAAGCATCCTTGTCTTCCATAAAACCTCAGCTGTGCCACAGGCTGATAGCTTCCACGCCACACAGAATTGAGGCAGTAATTGCTACAAAAGTGGCCCAAACCAAGTACTGAGTGCATGCTTATACTTTTCAGAGGTCCGATATTGTTCTATGTACCTTGTTTTATTGATTGCATGTAATATTCTAATTTTCTGATATTGTGGATGTGGGGTTTTCATGAGCTGTAAGCCCTCATCCTCACAATTATGACAAATCATGGCTTGAACTAGCTTGCTTTGCATGTAATGAGTCTATCTCATATATTAGTTTCACCTTTTAAGTTGCATTACTGAAATAAATGAACTTTTGCATGATATTCTAATTTTTCGAGTTTCACCTGTAAACTGAAACATTTTAAAATCAAAGCATATTGTATAGGATTTGCATCTGTGGTGGGATTCAACAAGTTTTATCACCGGTTCGGTGGGCATGACTTGTGTGCTTGGTGCACGTGCACACACTTTGCATGCGTGCATGCCAAACGCGCACTTTGCACAGGCACAGAGGTGTTTGCGCAGGTGCAGAGGCATTCCAAATCGGTAGAATACCACCACTGATTTGCATTTATTTTTGTACTCTGTCACATTATAAAAGTAAATTATTGAACCTTTGAGCATGACCATTAATCTTTGTACCATAAATGAATCTCTAGATTGCAATTACTGATTGGCAATTCTTTGCGCTTCTTTAGAAGATATCTCAGATAGCCTTTGAATTTTAGGAGTCAAATTAAATTCTGAGCAAACCGGTGAGTTATTACAAATGCATAAACAATATGTAGTTGATAAAACTTTGAATCTTCTATCCAAATAGGCTATTGGCATTATTTGAAAACAAAATTCTGTAAAAGCTTGGCTCAGAAAATGGGATGTAAGATACTGTAAATAATATGACATTCCTTGCCCATCTTTAAAAATTAATACTTAAGCTTACATACCAGTATCTTTGAGTAAGGAAAGAACAAATGGTTCTCATTTATTTCATGGCCATTGTTCTTACTGATACTATATCAATTTTTCCATGATAGCATTTCAGTAAAGTCAGTACCCAAATACTCCTTATCATCCAGTGCCCATCTATGTCTCTTTGGTTTTTTAGTAAATACTGCTACCTTAGTTTTTGAATAATTTATCTGTAAGTATGCTCTCCTGGAGTAGATACCAAATTCTGTCAGGATTTTTCTCATTCCAATTAATGTTGTTGACAGGACCACCATGTTGCCTGGTATTTTGTCCATCTCTCCTGTCTAACTGGAGATTTCAGAACTGAACCTGGGGTCCTTGGTGTGAAAAGAATTGTTCTATCCTAAGATCTGTCTCATGCTGCCCTAGATTAAAAAGTTTGTTAAAGCTTCAAAAATAAAAAGAAGAAAATATACTATCATTTCCGACCTTAGTTGTATTGTTAATGTCAGAACCATCAAGCTAGACTGTGAAGACTGACAGCAGTTTTTAAAGGCCTTCTTTCCATTTCAGGAAATTTAGCTGCATTTAAAACTTTATAGCCAACAAACACGGCTCCGAGAGAGATGCAGAAGAATCAATATGATGCTTAATGAAAAATAAATCTGGGTTTCATCAAAAGTCAATTCCTACACTTATGAATTAGATGTCTCACAAGCAATATAAATATATTGTCAACAATGTCTAAGAATAGCTCCCTGAGGGATATCTACATATAACATCTGCGAAAGAAAAATACAGGCATGCTGTTTTTCATTCACAAAGACACGTTCTCCATTTCAGAATAAAATTGTTAACTGCTAACATATATGGCTTAGTGCATCATTGACTAATTTCAAAGTACCTGTTAATAAAAAAAATTGATTAATAAAACAACAAGCAAAACAAAATAAGTGAGCAACGGCTTACAGCTTATTTGAATTCTTATTCAGTGTGCTAGTGGTTTCAGCTGAAATCTAACTTTGTAGATGCCATACAATGCTATCAAACTGCATATTTCTGCATAACAAGTGAATGTGCATTTCCACAACCCTCTCCAATTACCAGCAAGCTCAGAATGTTTGATAGTTTCAATTGTGTCATTTTAGTAAAATCTAAATTTGAGTGGAATCTCTGAAAAGAACAGGTTTATCGCAGTAAGAATGTTCAAGTAATTCAGAAGCAAAGTAGATAGTTATACTTTTACTTAAACCTAAATTTGAAAAATATAAATCTCTTCTAAATATGGCCTTACTTTATTGTTTGGTATGTTTAGGAGCAGCATTGTACAAAATGTTAGGTTGTCCTCAGTATAGACTGTTACAGCCTACAGTGTAAATGCTTATAAAAAGAGGTATGCTAGAAGAAATATCCAGATTTCTATCATTTGAATAATTAAGACTAGAAGGCTGAATATACTAATAACATTTTTCAAAGGGAACTCATCATTTCCTTAAAAGGTCAGAGATTGTCATAATTATTAGCCATAGTGTCAGGGATTAGGAAAAATAGGGCCAATTGGAAAATATCTAAATATTATTTAGATCCCCTCAGCCAGCTTACAGCCAAGATTTCGTAAAACTTCTGGTTCTACTGTCTGCACGTGTTTGCTAAAACTGCATAAAACCCATCAATTTTATATATTCTCTCTCTCTCTCTCTCCCTCCCCCCTCTGTGTGTGTGTGTGTGTGTGTGTGTGAGAGAGAGAGAGAGAGAGAGAGAGAGAGCGAGAGAGAGGGATTCCATCCTCTAATGTGAATAAGGAATTCCAGAAAGCATTCTAGAGGTTCGCTCATTGTTAACTTGTCGAAGTTCAAAGAAAATGCCATAATTCGAAGTAGGAAATGAAATAATTGAAGAGCCATCATCAGTGATGAAACACAGGCTTCCACATGATGTCAAGCATTCCTCTGAAACTTGCCATAAGCAGGCATCTATATCCAAGGTGTAACTGTGCAGAATCACAAGAAGCATCCAAAAAATTTCAATGAAAAACTTGTCCAAGTTCCCGATTTATCCAGCTCAAAAGACACTAGGAATAATTACTGGAATTAAGGAACCATTATTGCTTCTTGGTTGTGACAAGTTTAAGAGGCCTCTGGATATGCTATATCACTCAGATAATATGCTAACTGAAGTACTCTTTATGGAGACTAAGTCAGCCAACAAAACAAGACAGAGAAATAGATACACACAAATTCCCCTCCCCCATTTGTATTATGTCTAGACGCTGTGCAAAAAAGAGTTACATCTGCATCAGAACTGGAGTTGAAGGCACTCATATCCATTCAGCATCATGTCCCTGGGAATCTGTCAGCTTCGCTATATCACAAAACAAGTTCATGTATAAAGAGGAATTGCTATGCCATCTTGAAGCACTGTGATTCCTAACAGTTCTTAGAGCGAATAATACCATTGCTAAGATACTGTATATTAACTATTTGATAAAGAGAATTTCTCAGTGATATGCCCAGAAATTTTCAGTAATCTCCCATTTTCATACCTGATATTCATATTCGGTGAAAGGCAAGAGTCTGTCATCTTTGAATGAAGTGGATGAACCATTATAAACAAGGCTGGCATTGTGTTGATTGGGTACTGGCTGTCTTCGATAAAGCTCATAATGTAAGATGTTTCCATTTGGGTACTTTGGGCCAGTCCATACAATGGAAAGAACAGTCTGGAATCCATCAGGACTTGACTGGACATCTATGAAAGGAGCTGGCTGTATTTCAGGGGGTGCTTCAAGAGTTTGTATGGAGGACCATTCACTGTGAGTGCAGCCCAGAAGGCTGCAGGCTTGTATCTGTACTTCATACCTTTACAAACACAAACCAGAAATGAGGCAGTAGAACCTAGGCTTTGCAGTACATATAAAGGTAAAATATGTTCCACAAGACCAAGCTTGCAGACATTTAAACAAAAAAGAAATGCATTCCTTCAAAAAGACTGGGCTGTAATTTAAGTTCTTTTGGTGAATAAGAATGTAATTCTATGAATTGAAAAAATTGGGATATTCTCATCTGGGCAGAAAAGAACATAACACTAAATTTGTTAGAAATATAAAATCTGATTGGCAAAGGCTAACCATAAAAGAAAAAAACCCAAATTGACTAAATTTAGTCAACAATTAGTCAACAACCTCCCAGCTTTTCATGGATGCAGTGAGCTAATCTTATGCCTTGGGAAATCAATTTTTGTTCTAAAGTACAAGAATTCCCTCCTCATTTACTCATTACAGCATATGCTTACAACATACCTGTGATAGGGTTTTAGTTCTGTTAAATTGTAAGATTGTCTTCCAAGAGAATCGTGGAATGAATCCAGGTAAATCACTTTTTTTTGTGATTTAATAGGCTCCCGAAGAACGATAGTATAATTGATCAGGTTGCCATTAATCTTTGCTGGAGGATCCCAAATAACCAAAATTGTCTGTGCGGTCCATGGATGCAACAGAGGTGGAGACATTCCAGATGGGGCAGAAGGATTGGTTCTTATCTTGGCTATCTGACTGGTGACACTCCCTTGGCTATTGTTTGCAGTAACAGTATAAAAGTATTCTACTCCAGGAGTTAACATAAAATCCTTAAAGTGTTTATCTAGACCCAAATAAACCAGCAATCCATTCCTCCTTAGCTCATAAAACTGGATTTTACCATTTGGATTATTGGGAGCTTTCCATGTAATTTCTAGAGATTCAGAATCTAACACTCGTAACTTAGGGGGATCTAAGTTAAGAGGAGGGGCTTCTGTTGTCCAAGCAGTTTGGGATGCACTAACAGTGCACCCTCCATTGGTACAAGCAAACAATGTGATGTCATATTTAGTATAAGGTTGTAGATTCACTATTGTCTTGAATAAACCCTTTCCAACATACTGTTCTTCACCATTCAGCTTTAAAATATACTTTATGATTTTGCCATTTTGAATTTGGGGTGGCGACCAAGATACATTAATCTGGGTTGAATGTATACCTTCTAGAATAGGAGGGCTGACTATTGCTGGGGCTGCCTCTAATGTCCGTATTCTGGAATGGTCACTAGAGCAGCATCCTCCCAGGGTACAAGCAGTTATCACATAATTATATTCTGTATATGGAAGCAAGCCTTCATCAGTATAATTGAAGGTTGAAGCATCAAAGCTAAAAGGATAGGGAACATTATTTCTTTGGAGCTTATATGACAGCAGAATACCATTGCTTTTTTCTGGGAATGACCATGAAATCCATATTTTGCTGGGATTTTGAGGGATATAAGTTAATGTGGGAGCAGCCATGCCTTCCGGGGCAGCTTGACTGGTTTTTGCAGCAGACCAAGGACTATCAGTGTAGCCTGCTGAATTCCAGGCACGTATTTTATATTCATATGTAGTCCATGGCTGCAAATTCTGAGCATGATATACAAATGCATTACTCCCAGTGTTATATTCTGTGAAAACAATGTTCTCTTTTTCTGTCGTGCTACTTTCCCCTGAAGCATTTTCTTTGGTATGTCTGTGAATAACTTCATAGCGTATTATTTTTCCATTTGAATTAATTGGCTCAGACCAGCTCAATTCAATGTTGGTTGCATTCACCAAATGGATTACAGGAGCCATTTGAGAAGCAGGAGGGGCTGTATCTGTCCAAATTTGCTGCGGTGAAGAGTGAGTGCAACCAGCTGCTGTACAAGCTTCAAGAAGGAGAGTGTATTCAGTGAAAGGCTGAAGACGTCTGAAGAGGAACTGACGAGACAAACCACTATATTCTAGATTACCATCATTGAAAATTTTGTAAATCTGAAAGGAAAGACAATATCCATGCATTACCAGCAAGACCATTAGTGGCCTCATCAGACAGCTTTTTAAACCTAATACAACCCACCAAATAAGTACAATAACTTTTCACAGGCTCTATTGGCAGCCCATCCCTGCTGTTCTTTGGAGATTGTAAAAACAGGATGTTTATTAAGGATTCGGGCATAATAAAAAGCATGAAGAAGGTGTTCAGTTGGATGCTTAGCCTCCTACCCACCTCTCTTTTCTTTGGGGAAAGAGTTTTACTCTGCTCACCTTTGTGCATATGTCATATGCAGGTAACATTGAGTTAGTTTTAATTCCTGTAGGCTAGTTCTTTCTTGTCAACACTTTCAAAGGTGGTTTGCCATTGCCTTCTTCCAAGTGCTGAGACTGACTGGCACCAAATCACCCAAGTAGCTTTGTACCTAAGGCAGGACTACAACTTGGGTTTTCCCATTCAAGGGCCAGTACCTTAGATTCAATAGGCTAAGAAAGCTTACTGTGTACTCAACATTATTTTAATGCTGAAAACTGAAGAACTCACTGAGAAAAATCAAGATTTACATGTAGATCAAAAGTTAATGGGCTAAGTATTAGATTTGGATTATTTTTGAGGATACTGGAAAGGTCAGTGTTTGACCTTTTAGATGAATCGCTATCCTGTTGCTTGGAAGAACAACTTGAAAATGTCTTATATTGGGTGGTACTGAAAAGCTCTAAAAAGGATCCACTTAGCTCAGACTGACTTAATTATGGATGGATAGAAAGATTTTTAAATCAAGTTTTGATTTTTAAACCAAGAAAAGGGCTGGGGTTAAAAATGACCATTGTAAAGGATTGTGAAAAATCTCTAAGATAAGATGCTAAAAGCAATCACATATTTTCAATAAGTATTTTGTTAAAAGTATACTTGGTGTTAGCTTCCTTGTGGCTCACTATTATTTCCCATAGGTAAAATTTGTTTGATTCCCACCATTTTTGGTACTTATTGCACCTCTTGGAATCAATTAATGAAGTGTTCCAAAGTGCCATTGTATGGCATATCACTATATTAGAAGTGAACTACAATTGAGAGTACTCATGAAGTTCTATATTAAAGGTTTGCAGTATTGCAAATTAAAACATTCATAATATAGTAGCGCATTAATGACTTTTACATCATGACTTTCTCCACAATGTTTCTGTTCCATCTTGATGAAATAAGATTCAATTACCTTAATGTTACCATTGGGCTTGGAGGGCTCTGCCCACCTGAGTAATAATGCCCTGCCATTCTCTTTCTTGTCTACTGTAAAATTGCTTAGGCCACTTGGGGAAGCTTCCAGGGTGCGCACTGAAGTCCATGGACTAGCAACTTGCCCAGCATTATTGACAGCAACAATATGAATGTGGTAGGTTGTATATGGCTTCAAACCAGATAAGTAAGTTTGATAGATCTCTCCCTGTAGATGAAAGAGACAAATTTGTGATTTTTGTATGTGATTTGCCTGAAGATTCAGCACTTACAAAAAATATCTTACAATATCAACTAGACATATAAAATTGTTTTTGTGGAAGCAGTTTTTACAAGATTGGTTACAATGTACCCTCATAATGTACTGTTACAATACACAGTAATATTGAATGGACTCCACTAATGTCTGTAGGTCTTGGGTCAAAAATACACTTTTTTGTCATAACAAAAAAAACCCTATATTTTATTATTCTGTCCCATCATCCATGCCATGTACTTTTTCTCTTCTCCCATTACAATCTATGCTTTTTTTTTTTTTTAATATGAAACAGTGTATCTTCATCATCAGTAACACCCTAAAATAGGTGTTAAAATGTAAACACCTAAAAGCAGACTAAAAATGGTTAAAATACTGTTCAATTCCACTGGAAGACCTAAAGAATCAGGTTAGGGACAGATCATTGATCACTGACAAATGAAATCGATCTATGTGGTTGCTAAGAGTGAACACCAACGTGATGACACATTATCAGTCAATCATTATTAGACCGACTTAAATGACTTGGCTGAAGGTCTCACTTCTTTTTCAGATGGCAGACTATATGGTACAGTTCCCAAGGAAGTGAGAGAAGGTCTTCTCTTGCATACCTAAGAGATGGACCTCTGATAGTCCAGGCCAGAAGTGTGCAGTATTTGAAACCAAAGTGAGTAAGGATGCTTTGAGTCCTATATGGTAGGGCTGTCAAACTTGCAGCCCGTGGGCTGGATGCATCACACACTGGTCATGCCCATGCCTGGTTTAGCAAAGGGGGGAAAAGTTCCAATACATCATGTGACATCACCACGACAATGTAAGTTTGACACTCCTGCTGTATCGGAGCCTCATTATACCTCTTTGCAGCTCCTTAAAGGAAGCATGCCTTTCCTAGGGTGCATTTGGCAACTGCATAGGCTCATGGAAATACATGTTTGAGTTAGTACTTGGGCACATTTAGTAAAGAATCTCCTGACATTTTTACTGTCCATTCAGAACTGATTCTGGCACATTTCTACTGCAAGAAAACATCTCAGCTCTTTTATAATATTTGCACTTAGAATTCTTTACACACCTTTCCCTTTGATGGTGATTAGATACATCCCCTTATGATCAGTTCATTTAAAAAAAGACTCAGTTTCTTGGTTTTAGTTAAGTAGCTAAAAGCCACACTTCCAAGCTTCTAAATATTTAAATATCTGGTAAGCAGCAAGATGAAAAAATAATCTCTTTTTTGCAGAAAAATAATCTTTTTTAAAATATTAAACGTTACATAATAAATATTTAATAGTTATTTTCCCACAACAATGAGTTTCCCTTTTAGATAAATATAATACAGCATTTGAATGTCCATTTTGAATATTAAAGCTCAAAACCCACCATGACTGATTACAAATATACTTTTCAATGACAATTATTCGTTACCCCTCCTACACTGAAAAAGGTAAGTCCCTGTGAGAATAATAATGATGAATACAAAGGAGTGCAGTGGCTAAATGGGAATTATTGCTTTTCGTTCATTGCAAAGATGAGTAAAAATTCCTAAGCTATAAGATCTAAATTTGCGAAAAGCACTCTATTCACCAGATGCAGATGTCAATGGACTTTTGTTTAAATACATCCCATTCACATTTATTCAAAAGACCTACTAAGTTCAGCAAAGGCTAGAGAGAATTGTGTAGTTCTCCTTTACTGCAATCCTCGAATGCTTCCAGGGAAGACTTTTCTAGTGAGATTTTACTGATTTTATTATTATTATTACTTAGGGAGAGGATCCCAAAATTGCTCAATCTAATATCTAGGGACAAGGCTACTCTTCTTTTATTATTGCTAAATTTATTTTTATTTTCTTCAAAATTCACTGTACTGAAAATCATGGAATTGTTGTTATGATAAACCAGGAAACTCAGATTAAAATCTAAATCAAGTTTTGTTTTTTTCAAGTGCTGCCTTTCCTTGTTTCTTTGGAGAAACAGTGCTGAAGCCACTTCTGATTTCCAATGAAGGGGGAAAAAAATGGAACTGCTGCAGGTCCCAAGCCTGCTGTGATGACTTGGGGTGTGGCACAAAAGCAACAAAGTCACAAAAATAGGTAAAGTCCCTTTAATACCCCCAACTTGGCCCCCACTGTCCAGTTATTCTGGGCTGGAGATAAAACTCTTCCAAAAACAGTCTACAAAGGGAAAAAATGCAGTCCAAACCCAAAGTACAGATAGATTAAAAATAAAAAACCAACACAAATCATGCTGAAGTAATTAACATGACAGGATAATAAATTGCAGACTTCCAAAAGATAACGAAGCACACACAGTTGGGAGGATACCAAAACCCAGATAAGCCTCAACAAAGATAATGCACGCTTTGCTTCCAGCAAGGTGCTGTGTGCAAACGCCCTTCTTATATCCTGTTTTCCCAGCTGCAACTAATGAAAGGGATCAGGGCCCTTTTCTCTCCCATAAGCCACGTTGCTCCCTTCTTTGTTCCTCCCTGTGTGCCCTAGGATGAAGACGGGGTGACCCTGGGTCTTCCTCTGAATGCCCAGCCAGACTGTGCCCTTCCCCTGTTTCTTCCACAGCCACCGGAGCCACACTCCCACTCCCTGTCAGCTCCTCAATCTCCCCCTCAGAATCAGACTCCAACAAGGGCATGACACCTGCGATCTAAAAACAGTGAAAGGAAAATCCAAGAGGCAAGTTTGAAATTAATTAGCAAAAGCAAGCTGGAAAATCTACAGCTAGAAAATTAAACTGACCAAGAAAAACAAAGGTTTAAAAGTTCCATTGAGACTATATCTACTCAGAATGCTGAAATATACTTAGCTGGTAATATATACATGTAAGTACTATAAAAATTCTTGTATCTGTTTGTTTCTGACCTTCAATTGGGCAAAACTGGAACATATAGGGCAACAATTATTGAATCATTTTGGTGAGAATGAAATTTGGGGAAATTGTGGTTGCTTCAGCACCATTGTGTCCTTTGACTATACTTCCCCCAAACCTTTATATTGTAAGTTGCAAGGGAAATATTTGCATCTCAAAACTGTATGCAGTCCACTATGTTCTGTCTACAGAATTCATTAGGTTCCTGAAGCAGGACAATGTGGAGATCCTTGGTGTGGGGAAGAGAATAAGTTGAGTGGTGTGACTGTTGCAGGTTCTCTGATACTAGCAGGAACATCTGGATAATGAGATAATTTATTATCTATTTATCTCATTAAGGTCTCTGCCTAGCAGTATCTCTCCAAAATGGCAAGGCTAGCACTTGGGCTTCATTCATTTTCTCCACTCTCAGCTTCTTTATTGTAGCCATACACATGGAATAACTTCTACGGTCTTGCAAACACATTTGGATTGGGATGTGCAGCTCAGGTCTCAATTTAGGGTCTCAAGACCCACCACTCTTTGCTTTACACTTCACTTCGATGTTCTGTGACTGGCACTGAGGATGATTGAATGGATTCCAAGGCAACACTCAGAGGTGCTGACCTAAACATTTACTACTTGTTGAAAATGGGTCTGGCAAAACTAAAATGCTTCTTGTTTTCTGTAGCTTGCCTCTCTCTGTCCATTGCATCTCACTATGCCAGCCTATTTCTGCTGATATAGGTTATCCTCACTGGACTATGGAATGCTGAGACATCATAATGGCAGGCTGGGCACCAAGTGCCCAGATCACAATCATGTGACTGCATGGATACTGCAACCAACAGAAGAGCAAATACCACTCATACAGACTGTAGAGATTCTCAGTCATCCAGGTCATGGTGGTTCCACATATGTTTTTTCAGGAGGCAACTGGACTTCCTTGTTTTTTGTTTGAAGACATTTCACTTCTCATCCAAGAAGCTTCTTCAGCTTTGATAGGATAGTGGGGAATGGAAGGATTTATATTCCTTGCAGACTGCTGATTATTTACATCCTTTTAGAGGGTAATTGAAGTACTTGGAGGTTTATCTATGTCCTCAGGGTCACCTGAGTAATACTCCTGGTTCCTGTAGTCTGTAGTATTTTCATCTGGAAATCCATTCCTACTCCCACACCATTCGAAGTGTGTTCATCCCAAATTGTATAACTAAAAGTCTGTAGAGATTTTTCAGTCATCCACATCATGGTTCTCCCAAAGATGCTTTTATAGGAAGCAACTGGACTTTCTTGTTTTTTTTCTTTGTTTTGCAAATTACCAGCTGTCTGCAAGGCATAGAAATCCTTCCAATCCCCACTATCCTGTCAGAGCTGAAGAAGCTTCTTGGATGAGAAGCAAAATGTCTTCAAAGAAAAAACAAGGAAGTCCCGTTGCCCTATGGAAAAGCACTTTTGGGACTACCACTCATACAGTGCCGTTGTACGGTTTAACAGCCATGGAGCAAGTGGTTGTTAAATGAGGACCTATATATCTAAGGCACAGTTTTGTACTCTGAAAGTGATGACAGGTCCTTCAAAGAAATCAAACCTGCCAACAGCTATACCAGTGGCTTCTGACATCTCAAAGCCAATACTCTCCTTTCCTATCTTTGCATTAAAAAGGAATTGCGGCGAAATCCTTGAGAATTTCAAATAGTAATTGGCAGGATCAATAGTTCCCAAAGGAACTATCAGATGTGATGTCTTCATCACATTGAGCCAAAAATGACTCTTCATTCTGGTGCCTCCTCATTATATTTTATAGACAGTTTTTTTAAAAAAATCTAATGTTAATTTTAGTTTGGATCAAACTGTTGTGCCCTTGAATTGCACACTCAAATAGAATAATTCTTTCTTCAAATCTTGAAGATGATACAAATTAGAGGTGATTTACATAGCAGTCACAGCATGATTCTCAGTAATAGAGATTACTAATAACTAATAGACATGTAAAACAGAGTGCTACAGTACTACAGGTTATTACATTTTCCCTCTGACAGGGGAGTTTTAAAAAGCCCTTTATGATCAGTTAAAAACTCAGGGATCTGAACA